TGATCCTTCTTCATTTCAACTTTCATATTCCAATCACCAGTAATTATCAATGCATCTTGACTGCATGTTTGATCAATTTCAGACTGCAGAAGTTGGTAGAAATCTTCAATTTCTTCATCTTTGGCACTAGTGCGTGGTGTGGAAATTTGAATAATAGTCATATTAACTGGTCTTCCTTGTAGGTGTATGGATATCATCCTATCACTGACAGCACTGTACTTCAGGATAGATCTTCATGTTCTTTTTGACAATGTACACGACACCATTCCTCTTCAATTTGTCATTTCCTGCACAGTAGACCATATGCTTATCTGATTCAAAATGGCCATTATCAGTCCATTTCAGCTCACTAATTACCTAGGACATCAATCTTTATGCATTCCACTTCATTTTTGATGACTTCCAATTTTCCTAGATTCATACCTCATACATGTTCCCATTATTAATGGATGTTTGCAGCTATTTTTTCTCATTTTGAGTCGTGCTACAACAGCAAATTAAGGTCCCAAAAGCTTTACTCCATGCACATCATTAAGGTCGACTCTACTTTGAGGAGGCATCTCTTCCCCAGTCATATTTTAAGTGCCTTCCATTATGAGGGGCTCATTTTCCTGATTTGGTTATTACCACAGGCCTGATTCCCAACTCAGTGTACTGAAACATTTGAATCATTTATTAACTACTTGTTTGGATAAGCTCCCTATCTCATTTATTTATTTAATAGCTTTAATAAATAAATGACTTCAGAAATATAGAAGCAAAGGTTTCTAATAGTCACATGTATTTCTGCTCCAACCAATATCTGAATCACAAGCACAAGATAACATCCTAAAAGAGCATAATTACCTGAAGTTCTGATTCTTTCCCTTTCCCTAAAACAGTCTCTTGTACTTCTCTGTGTACCAGGGGAAGTTCCCCAAGTGACAGGTCTTCTTTATCTTTGAGGGACTGGCCTAGTTATATCACTGATCATCAGTCTGGGTCCAGACACTCAGGCCACTTCTTGGCTGCAGAAACCTCCTCATTAGACAACTCTCACTCCTTCCAGCAGGGTCCTGTTCTCCTTTCTTTGGATGAGTAGGTAAGAGAGAGGATCTACAGATAAGTAATGAATTCCTTACATGTATGTCAAGCTTCTGGTTGGACAGCTTGGGCTTCTCCCTTTCTTTATAAAGTGGTACTCATTTTTTAGTCCTGGGTAGGTAAATGTACTTCCCTTGCCACTGTCAAGGTGAAGCCAACTTCATATGGTCAGGGTTTAGGAAGCTTAATAAAATACAACCCCCTGGTTTCTGAATTTCAGAATCAATAGAGTCACAGGAGTTAGATGGGGCTCAAAATGCCACCTTTTCAAGCTGACTGGAGAACTTATCTTTAGATCTGCAGCAAACACTGAAAGTTGAAGCAAGGAAGAATAGGGCCTTGGGGAGAGGCCCTTTATGACCTCTAGGTACGGTACTGCCTAATCATTTCTGCTGGTTCCTTGATCTTGGGTATTTCTTCGTATGTATCTGCTGAACTGTTCTCAGCTGAAGACTCTCACTCCAGAGCTTTCTCTTTATGCATCTCTGTCTTTTCTGGTATTTTGTTTTGTGAATTCTGCCTTGGCTTCCCTGGAAATTGATCTTGGTCTCTTCAACTCAAAAAGACTGCTGGTCCAGACTTAAGTCCCCACTTTAATGAGATGCAGCCTGGAAATTCTCTCCATCCAGTCACGAATGTTCTGAACTGCCTGGTGTCCAAAGCCTTAAAACCATTTTTTTCACATATTTGGTCTGTTTTTTTTTTTTAGTTGTTTAAAGTGGGAAGGTAAATGTGGTCCCTATTGCTTCTTCGTGATCACTGATTGACATTCCTTACCTTCATTTCTTTGAAAGAGCCTTACTGAAGTATAGTTCATGTACAATAAACTGTATATATTTAAAGTGTATATTTTTATAATTGTTGACATACGTGTACACCTGTGATTTCATCGTGGCAATCAAGAGAGTGAATACATCTATCACCCCACAGAAGTTCCCTCATGCCTGTTTGCAATCTCATCCCCTTGCCCTTCTCACCTCCCAACCCCTTGTTTGGCAATCAATAACATGTCACTCTATATTATATTAGTTTTCATTTTATAGAGTTTATATAAATGGGGTCAAAAGTTATGTACTGTTTTATTTTGGCTTCGTTTATTCAATATAAGTATTGAGATTTATTCATGATGTTTTGTGTATCAATAGTTTGTTCCTTTTTATTCATTAGTAGGATTCTATTAGGTCCCTAGATGGCACAAGTGCTTTGCACTGACTACTAACCTAAAGGTTGATGGTTCAAACCCACCCAGTGGTGCTATGGAAGAAAGGCCTGGTGATCTGCTTTCATAAAGATGACAGCCAAGAAAACCCTATGGAACAGTTCTACTCTGTAACACATGGAGTCGCCATGAGTCAGAATCAGCAACAGGTGGGTAGTATTCTATTCTATGGTCTCTTAGTTTCCTAGGGCTGACATAACAAAATACTACAAAGTAGGTGGTTCTAAAGAAGATAAATTTATGTTGTTGAAAAAGGTATTTGCAATGAATAAGTTGTTGGTCTCTCAAAAGTCTATCGTGCGATCTCCAGCATTATTTCTATCACCAAGGCCATACTTTCCAACTACCAATCCTTCTTCTTTTGTTTCCAACTTTTGCATTCCAATCACCAGTAATTATCAATGTATCTCGATTACATGTTTGATCAATTTCAGACTGCAGAAGTTGGTAAAAATCTTCAATTTCTTCATCTTTGGCAAAAGAAAAGAGAGGCAACGAGTGCAATGGTTAAGGGTTGGCAAAAGGTGGAAGGAAACATTTAAATGTCCATTGATAAATTAGTGAATAAATAAAATGTGGTGTATTTATATGTGTGTATGTGTATTATTCAGATATAAAGAGAAATGAAGTTCTGATACACGCTATGACATGGATGAACCTTGAAAAGATTATGCTGAGTGAAATAAATCAGAAAATAAGTCAGACACAAAAGGACAAATGTCGTATAATCCCACTTCATGAAATATCTAGAATCAGCAAATACGTAGAGACAAAAGTTTGTTAGTGGTTATCAGGGGCTGAAGGGAGGAAGGAATGGGAATTATTGCTTAAGGGCTATGGAGTTTCCATTTGGGGTGATGAAAAAGTTTTGGAAGTGGATAGTGGTGACTGTGAATCACCACAACATGGTGAATGTGCTTAATATCACTGAAGTGTACACATAAAAATAATTACAATGGCAAAAAAAAAGTGTGACTTGGCTATTCTTGGATCTTGGTACTTTCATAAGAATAATTTTTTAACTTTCAAAAGAATAATCTCATGCCCCATAAAAAAAAAAAAAAGTTGTGATTTTCATAATAATTGCATTAAGCCCATTGAACAATTTAGGAGAAATGAACATGGTATATGTCTTCATTTATTTAGGTCTTTTAAACTTTTTTCAATAAAGCTTTATGGTTTTCTATATAAAAGCTTTCATATCTTTCCTTGTATTCATTACTTGATAACATATTTTTACTGCATTTTGAATTTTAGAAGATTGCAATTTCATTTCTCTCTGGTATAAAGAAATGCAACTGACTTATATATAGATCTTATATTTGTGAAACTGGTTACATTCTCTTATTAAATCTAACATTAATTAAAAAGAGAGAGGAGGGGTTAGCAAACCATGGCCTGCAGGCCAAATCTGCACTGTCATTTGTTCTTGTATTGAAACACATCCACACTTATTCATTTATATATTGTCTACGGCTGCTTTCATGCTACAACAACAAAGTTGAGAAACTGCAATAGAGGCCATACAGCACACAAAGCCTAGGATATATACTATCTGGCCCTTTATAGACAAAATTTGTCAACCCCTGGTTAAAAGTATGAACTTTGGTGCTAGAATGCCTGGTTCTACCACTGACTAGCTGTGTGACTAAGGGAAAGTTACTTACCCACTCTATGCCTTGTTTTCATCATTTATAAAACAGAGATATAATTTTTTGTAGGCTGCATTAAAACATTCTGGAGTTTATTGTAACAGGAATGAGAAGCCTGCAATATGAGGTTTTAAGTTGGAGAGTAACAAGATCAGAGTACCACATTTTCACAGAGGAGCAAAAATGTGAGGTGACTACAACAATCTCTTTTTAAATCTAAAACCAAAGTATTTAATGTAGCAACATTTTATAATTTGCTCTAAGTTTTTGTGTTCATTATTGAAGCTTATCTTTTGAACAATCTTGTGAAGTTGTTTCAAATCTTCTGCATTTTACAAGTGAATAAAATAAAGTGCCTCATTAAGATAATACATAGGAAATAGATAAGAAAATTTATTTATACAAATTCCCAATGCAAATTACTCTCTAAAGAGGTTTCCAGACTTAGTTGGTGAGATTGCTTTGGGTTAAACTTTCAAGAAGTGTATTTTCCACTCTGTCACGGTAACCATAGAACTTACCAACTAATCTAGGATAAGGAGCCTTCTTGGCACAACGGTTAAGCGCTCGCCTGCTAACCGAAAGGTCGGTGGTTCAAACCTACCAGCGGCTCTGCAGGAGAAAATACCTGGTAATGTGCTTCCGTAAAGATTACAGCCTAGGAAACCCTATGAGGCAGTTCTACTCTGCCCTATAGGGTCACTATGAGTCAGAATTCACTCAACAGCACACAACAACAACACTAGGACACTTTTGAGAATAAAAAGGGGCACTATTAAAAGTTACCCCAAGACATCAGGCATAACCCTACACTGTTGAATATACACTTGCTGAATCTTTGTCAGTTAGAAGATGAAGACGACACCTCACGGAGTTCAACTGTCAATAAGAAGTCATCCTGGATGAGACATCCTGGTGCATTTTATACCGCCAGATTTTTAATCTAAAGCCTGTCAATTAACTAACAACAACAAAAAACCAACAATGATTAAAAGAAGATACATGTAACTTGCTGACTGTTGCTTGTAAGGTTAAAATCTGCTTACCTCCATGATGTCTTCTAAATTCTCTTCTGCATCTGCTTTCTCTGTCATCAGTTTGGCTGCCTTAAAATAAGTCTTCATTAGTAGATAACCCTTTTTTGCTCCATTCCAGTATGACCGAGGAATTTCCACCAAGCCATACCCCAACAACAATACAAGCAGAAACAGACCCCATGTATTTGCAGCAGCTATTCCAATTGTCTGAAGCTGGTTCCTAAGAAAGAGAAAACGTGAGCAGCATGTTGTGATAAATAAATTTCCCCTACAAAAATGTCAAATGAAACTAACTAACATTAGGTGGTTTTTCAGAAAACAACTGTCCTAAAGGATGGCTAGGATTTTATATAAAAGAATTAGACCTTCAAATTCTCAGCTACTCTTTTAACAACAGCAGATAATCTGTGCATTTTAATGGAAAGTTAGAGTGTGACTATAAATGGACTTTAACACAGGAAACACTACTTCCACTATGGATAAAATTAGAATCTAGGATAGCTCATGGCAAAAATATGTATATTTTTTCCCTAAGAGAGCACATTTTTCTCTAGGTGCTCTCTGATTCAACATTAACCGAGATAAGCCAGAAAATTTTTAAATTATCTCATGTTGAAGCAAACATACTCAAATCTCTAGAATGCAGCATTGCAGTCTATCACTACTAACCTATTCCTAAATTTTCAGACCTAGCTCTTCATGTACATTATAGGATCACAAGTATAATGTACATACCAATTTTATTGCAATGTCTAAATCTAAGATAACATTAAAGACAAATATGCCCTAAAACTACGGTCAGCACAAAAGGAAAAAACATGCACAAGTTCAGTGAGTCCACTGAAAAAAGAATGAAGAGAAAAATCGAATATTTTATTATATACAAAATTTGAAATTCTATGCCAAAAATCCTGAGTTAATACTTTTAACATACAGATATTAGACAAAGTACTAGCCTTTTGTCTAATAGCTGTATTTAAAGATGTCATTCTATATTTTCTTTCTTAGTAATATGGATTATTCAGCTATCTTTTTAGGGAATCTATAAAATATAACTTGTTCTGTTTATTGATGAAATGCCTACTTAACCACACATATGAGATAAAAGTGAATTTTAAAAATTGTAAACATACAGAAACAATGCTAAGAAGACTACTTTTCTTACCATTCTAAGTGCAAACGTGGGTTTACAGCTACATAAATTAAAAATGCTCCAAAAATCAGCAAATAGGTGCCATAATAGATTGCATTCTCAATAAGTGCAGTTTTGATCTTCCCAGTGATCGAAAACCCTCCTGACCTTGCATATGACTGCATAAAGGGTAAAAGAATCCTAGATGATTAAAAAAGACAATGATTAAAACACAAAACAATTGATGTCTGTATAATCTCAAAATACCATAAGTACACAAATCTCAATTTTAATGTATAGTTCTTTTCACTAATAAATATGAATACGAATAATTATTAATACTACTGGTAAATTATACTAGGTGATTGAATTGTCTGTAATATTAAACTTTGGAGAGAGCAAAGGAGGCCAGAATGACAAGCCGCAGTATGAGTAATTTACAATGAGTCTAAAAAAAAGGCCTCCAAAGCCGTTTTGAAGAGTTTGGACTACGACCAAAGAACAGTGAGGAACCATTCTCTTTAACAGAAAGGAGATATGATCAAATTTCAGTTTTCTAAAAAGACTGACAGACTGCAGCATGGAGAATAGACTGATGGGGAACAAAACTAGGAACAAGTTGGGAGGGGGTACGGGTGTGCTGGTAAGAAGCAGGAGGGGAGAAGATCAGTTGTCAACATATTCATTTTGAAGTACCGAGGAGACATCCAGGAGGAACTGTGCAGGAAGTAGTTGGCAATTCCAGTTCAGAGTTCAGTAAACAGGTTTAGAAATATAGATAGATGATAGATACCGCAGTCATCACCATTTCAATGGTACTGAAATAACATCAGTAGCTAAGATCCCTGAGATCTTCTAGGGCTAGTACTCAGAATGAGGAGGAAAGAATTGAGAAATATCAACTTTTAAGGAAGAAGTAAAGGATTAGCAAGAGGAGTAGGAGCCAGCAAAGGACACTAAGAAAGAACAGCAGAGAGGTAAGCAAGAAAACCAAAGAGCTTATGGGGTAGAAACTAGAAGAAAGTATTTGAAAGTGGAGAGAGAAAACAATAGAATCAACTGAGCGGTCAAGTTAAGGACTTGAAAATGTGAGCAGCGGGGTGGGGTTAGAAGACAGAATACAACGGGTTGAGAAGTAAGTAAGCAACTCACAAATGGAGACACCAAATGTAGACAATTCATTAAAAAGTCTGACTGGCTAGGAAAAATGTGGTTTATTCATAAAATGGAATATTTTACAGAAATAAAAAAGAATACTGCCACATACAACACAACATAAATGAATTTCCTAAATATAATATGAGCAAAAAAGTACATGTTGTATAATTCCACGCTTATAAAGTTCAAAAACAGGCAAACAAATTTATGGTTAAGGAAGTCAGAATAATGGTTACCTTTACAGGGAGGTAGTGACTGAGAGGGGGGCCTGAGGGAGGCTTCTGGGGCATTGGTAAACGTCTATGTCTTCATCTGAGTGCTGCTTATATGGGTATTGTCACTTTGAAAAAGTCAAACTACACACTTACAAATCTGTTTACTTTTCTCTATGAATTTATATTTTGATTAAAAAAAAAAAGTTTCCAAAAAAAGAAATTTGGCTGTGATGAGTAGCCTAATGAGCTGGAAAGGGATATGATTTAAGAGACTTTTTGTTCCTTTCGTTTTTTTTTTTTTTAGGATGACAGAATTATGCAAGCTTAGGTGCAACCGGAAGATGTAAGTAGGTTACAAGAGTTTATGGGGATAGATTCGTATTTTAGGAAGAAGAATTAGCTTTACCAGCAGTGACCCTTCTGTTATGGGTAGGTAGTTAGGTTTGTTAGGGGGAAGCTGGAAGAGCTGCCATCTGATGACTTTTATTTTCACTGTGAGGTAGGAAGTAAAGTCATCTACTAACAGTGAAGGTGATTGCTTTTAGGAAATAGGAGAGAGAAACACAAAGGGAACAGCAGAGATTTGAAGTATTTGTTGTGGAAAATAGGAGGGCAAGCAATTTAGAGAAACAAAGAAGGAAAGTCTGGCAATGTTAAGGGCCCAGCTGAGTTTAATGAGTATGCATTTATAGGGGCATTACTCTACTTTGTAGTACGCTTTTTCTCTTGCAATATTCACTACCTCCAGTTTTAGAGCTTAGTCACCTGCAGAATATCTAAGAGATGCTCAGTAGGCAGTGGATAAAGTGTTAAGTCTGTAGCTCGGCACAAAGACAAAGATATTCAGGGTAGAAAGAAAGATGAGGAAAGCATGACTGGTTAACGAAATGATAGATATAACTAAAGCTATGCAGGGAGAATCAGATAACAAGATGACCAAAGATGGGAGTGTAGGGAACACCAACATTTAGGAAATGTACCACAGAAATGGAGCCCATGAAGGAAATTCAAAAAATCAGACTAAGTAGGTAAAAAGAATACCAGGGAATAATGAAAGCAGTTTCATGTAGTAACAGGGCTGGAAGAAGACTGGATAGAAGAAGGGAGAGAGAGAGGCCAATAACTGTAGGGGAATAATGACAAGAAAAATTTTGTCAGTTTTTTCATTTGTTGTTTTTTACTTTCCTTTTTGTTTTCTAAGACGAGAGTGACTAGAGCCAGCAGAAAGGAGAAGGGTGCAGATGTAAGGGCAATAACAAGTGACACTTGCATAAATTAAAAAATAAAAAGTTTTATTGAAAAATAAATCATAATTTTTTTTAACCTTAGCCAAAATTTTATCCTTCACTGCCACTTACCATGTTAAAAATTGTGATGTCCAATACACTACCCTCCAGAAAACTGGCATGATTCCATCAGGAATATAACTCCATGGCTTGAAACATGGATGTTGGCTGTTTAATAACAATTAATTTAAAGCCAATTAATCATAAATGATGACTACTTAAGTGAATTATACACTAATTTCTATGTAGCAAAGTTCATTTTATATTACGTTCAGATTTTTAAATCATTGGCTTGAAATTAGACTGTAAAATTTACTAGAAAACTTAAAATGCAAAGACGACTATCAAACTAAAAAAAACACAAAAGGAACAAAACAGCTTGTTCTAGAGAGGAAGGCCATTTAACTTTCAACTTTCAGTGTATTTTTAGTCATTGAGTAAGAAGAGAACATAATGTTCAACTCACAGAATGAAAAACAGTCCTTAAAAACAAATGCATCATGAAATCAAACCTCTAATACTTACCTTTAAAATAATCACTAACGGTCTCTGGCTGGCACAAATGGCTAAGTGCTCAACTAAAGGTCGAAAGATTAATGGTTTGAACCTACCCAGAGGTACCTCAGAAGATAGGCCTGGTAATCTGCTTCTGAAAGGTCACAGCCTGGAAAACTCTATGGAGCAGTTCTACTCTGCACATATGGGGTCACCATGAGTCAGAATCAACTTGACAGCAACTAACAATTAATAATACCACTTAATCTCTCAATAAAATATCCACTCATTCCATTCATGAGGTTGTTTGCTCTTCTTTCTTTTTTGGAGGAGGGGAGGAAGACAAGTGATTAATTCCTGGAAATTGGAATATTAACTGAATTAGTGCCTATGGTGTAGCTCCTGTGAAGATGCATACCAGCATTTATACATATTTCTGTTTGAATTTTCTTAGATATGATGTGTCTCTGACCATATATTCTTCCATTTGATGGTTGGTTCCTCTTCCTAGACTACAAGGATATCTTTAATGTACAAGGACTTCCAACAATCCATAATTATTGCTGATCTATATCCAATTTTTAATGGTGCTTGAAAGGGAAGTAAAATTTACATTTTAAAATTCACCCAAACTTACTAAACTTGATTAAAAAACTAAATAGATAAAAGTTGCATAAAGAAGCATGCAAATACTACTTAAAGCACTGGTAGAAGCTATAGTCAATATACATATTTTTTCACTTGGAAGTTTGATATGAATTCAATTTAATCTCTTGACAATTTGAAACTTTATTTAAAATCGTACTGATTTCAAAGGAATACCCTACATACAAAATAGCTTCCCTATCCTTTATAACAATCTTTTAAATAAGGCAAAAGAGAAAATACATGCTCCATTTTTTAGACTAGGAAACTGAGACTGAGAGAAACAATAGCTTTCTCCAGTCATATAACTGGTAAGGGGAAAAACCTGGACTAAAAAATCAGCTCTTTTCCAGGTTTCTCACTAGCATCTACCATAAGGCCTTATGAACAAATAAACATCTAAAATTTATTTAAAATATTTTAATCCTAAAATGAATAAACTTTAGGATTTACTTAATCCTAAATTTATTTTAGGATTTACTTAATCCTGAATTTATTTTAGGATTTACTTAATCCTAAATTTATTTTAGGACTAAAGTTAAGTCCTAACTTTACTTATTTTATGATTAAACAAGAATACAATATAATTAAAAGTCTATGAGCAGATAAATTTCCAAAAAAACAGAAAAGGAATGAACACTTCCTAACTCATATGAGGCCAGCATTAACCTGATACCAAAGACAGACAGACACCACAAGAAAAGAAAACTACAAATGAATATCCCTTATTAACAGAGATGCAAAAATCCTTAACAAAATGCTAACAAGCTGAATCCAACAGCATATTAAAAGAATTATACACCATTATCAGGAGGATTTATCCCAGGAATGCCAAGGTGGTTCAACATTAGAAAATGAGCATAATACACATTAATAGAAAAAGGAAAAGAACAACACGATCATCTCAATTGACACAGAAAAGGCATTTGACAAAATCTAACATCTTTTCATGATAAAAACACTTAACCAACTAGGAATAGAGGGAAATTCCTCAATATGATAGAGGGCATTTATGAAAAACTCGAGCTAACATCATACTCAGTGGAGAAAGACCGAGAGCTTTCCCCTTAAGATCAGGAACTGCTACTCAATATTGTACTGGAAGTCCTAGCCAGAGCAATTAGTCAAGAAAAAGAAATAAAAGGTATCCAAATTGGGAAACAGTAAAACTATCTCTTTCTGCATATGACATGATCCTATATGAAAACCCCAAAGAATCCACAAGAAAGCTACTAGTGTTGATAAATGAATTCAGCAAAGGCGCAGGGTCCAAAGTCAGCACACAAAAATTTCTATACACCAGCAATAAGCAATCTGAAAAGAAAATTAAGCAAACAATTCCATTTATAATAGCATCTTGATAAAAGAATAAAATACATAGGAATAAATATAGCTAGGAAGGTTATAGGCTTGTACACTGAAAACTTAAAACCCTACTGAAGTAAATTAAAGACCTAAATAAATGGAAGGGCATTCTGTGTTCATGGACTGGAATATTGTTAAGATGTCAATACTACCCAAAGCAATCTATAGATTCAATGCAACCCCCATAAAAATTCTAAAGCCTTCTTCACCAAAGTGGAAAAGTCAATCCTTGAATTTATATGGAACTGAAAGGGGCCCTGAATAGCCAAAGTAATCTTGAAAAAGAACAAAGTAGGACTCACACTTCCTGACTTCAAAAAGGTATGATAAAGCTACAGTAATAAAAACAGTCTGGTACTGGTATAACAACAGACACACTGACCAATGGAATAGAATTAAAAGTCTAGAAATAAACTCATACATCTACAGTCAATTGATTTTCAACAAGGATGCCCCATTTTATGGGGCAAAGAATAGTCTCTTCGATAAATGGTGCTGGAATAACTGGATTCATGAAGAAGAACGAAGCTGGACCCATACCTCACATCATATGTAAAAATTAACTCAAAATGGATCAACAACCCAAATGTAAGAAATAAAACCTTAAAATTATTAGAAAACATAGGGGTAATGCTTTGGGATCTAGTTTTCAATAACAGAGTCTTAGATATGACACCAAAAGCATGTGCAACAAAAGACAAAACAAACTGGACTTCATCAAAATTAAAAACTTTTGTACATCAAAGGACTTTATCAAGAAAGTGAAGAGACAACCTACGGAATAGGAGAAAATATTTGAGAATCACATATCTGATAAGGGTTTAATATCTAGAATATATAAAGAATTCCCTCAACTTAACAACAAAGAGACTACCAGCCCAATCAAAAAATGGGCAAAGAACTTGAAGAGATGTTTCTCCAAAGAAGATATACGAATAGCCAATAAAGCACATGAAAAGATGCTCAATGTCATTAGTCATTAGAGAAATGTAAAACAAAATCACAATGAGATACCACTTCACTCCCACTAGGATGGCTATTATCAGAAAAAGGAAAAATAACAAATGTTGGGGAGGATATGGAGAACTTGGAACCCTCACCTTTTGCTGGTGAAATTGTATAATGGTGCAGCTATTGTGGAATACAGTTTGGTGGTTTTTCAAAAAACTAAACAAAGAACTACCATATGACCCAGAAATTCTACTCTTAAGTATACTCCCAAAAGAATTGAAAGCAGAGACTCAGATACTTGTACATCAATACTCACTGCAACATTATTCACAATAGCCAAAAGGTGGAAACAACACAAGTGTCCTTTAACGGATGAATAGATAAATAAAAACTGGTATACCCATACAATGCAATATTATTCAGCCATAGAAAAATGAAGTTTTGATACATGCTCTGACATGGATGAACTTTGAAAACATTGTGCTAGGTGAAATAAGTCAGACACAAAGGGACAAATATTCTATCATCCCACTTATATGAAATATCTAAAACAGGCAAATGCATACAGACAAAAGTTCATTTGTGGCTACCGAGGGTGAGTGGGAGGGGGAAATGAGGAGTTATTGCTTAAAGGATTCTGAATTTCTGTTAAGGGCAATAGAAACATTTTGGAAATGATGGATAGTAGTGATGGTTCTACAACATGGTGAACATAATTAACTGTACACATAAAAAAGGTTGAAATGGCAAATATTTCATTATATATATTTTTTTCTACATATATACAAAAAAAGTCTACAAGCAAAGGATGGAGGCTGAAGGGTGAAAGGATTAAGTTTTATAAATATATAAATCTGGATGATAAAAACAGATAAGTTTAAACAATTTTCCCTCTAAAATATATATAAAAAAAGAAATACCTTGGAACTGGGATAGCAGTTGCATATGATCCTGTAATGTTGCTATTCTCAGGAGGGCTTGAGTTTGCAGCAGCATGCTTGCACCTGTTATATATTGTCTAAAGCAATGAATGTATGGTTTAAAAATGAGAATCAAAAGGTTACCAAGTACTTAAGAAATACTGGAGTTTATCAACCTATCTACCCAAACTTACCTTCCTGGCTATGCTTTTTAATGATCAAATTCATAAAATAACATTTAAATTCAAAACATAAGCATAACCTTACATAATTTAAGGTGTCCTGGTAGCACAGTGGTTAAGCACTCAGCTGCTAATTGAAAGGTAGGCAGTATGAACCTACCAGCCACTCTGCAGGAGAAAGAAGTGGCAGTCTGCTTCTGTAAAGATTACAGCCTTGGAAACCCTATGGAGCAGTTCTACTCTGTCCTATAAGGTAGCTATGAGTTGGAATCTACTTGACAGCAATGGTTTTTTTTGGTTTACATAATATAGCTGTCTTAAAAACTAACATACCTCAATCATCCTGTGTGATTACAATTGCCTTTTAAAGTGTGAAAATCAGTTTCACATCTTACCGTACTAACATCCAGGGGCAGTATGAAGACGATAAGAAAGCAGAGATACCAAGCAAGCAGTGTTCCAACAATTACAAGTCTATGCTGTTTCTTAAAGTCTCCGTATCGATGAAGTAGGAACAACGCCAGAAAAAAGACAAAAACAATCTCGAGTCCCAAAGCTGCACCACTCATTATGGAATGTTCACTCTGACTAATCAAAGCAATTCATGCACAGGTCTGGATCATATCTGTAAACTGGAAAAAAAAAATGCAACATTAACATAAGATATGTCCATTTGGTGATCTACTAAATATTTATTAGTGTATTAATAAATTCATTTAAAAACCATCATGCTTCAATTCGGACTACAGATAAGATGAAAAGTATTTAAAAAAGTATCTCAAAAATGTATTTCAGATTTTTCAAAGCAAATCTTAAAATTTCACCTAAATTATACCTTCAGGAAAAAAAGAACAAAAAATACACTAGTTTTTAAACTACTACAAATTAAGAAGTTTTAATACTAGCTATGAATGGTTTCAATATAGTGTCACTTGGAGTTTGTCCCTACTGTTGTTAAGCCATAACAGAATACTTTATACAAATATATTATTGTGACTCCAAAAAAGCTAAACCAGTTTCCCTTGAGTCGATTCTGACTCCTGCCTAGAAAACTAGCTGTTTAGTAAAATAAAGTTCTCTAAGTTCACCTTACACCTTAGAACTTACACCTCAACATAAAACAAAAATCCTCACAACTGGACCAATAAGCAACATCATGACAAACGGAGAAAAGACTGAAGTTGTCAAGGATTTCATTTTACTTGGATCCACAATCAACACCCATGGAAGCAGCAGTCAAGAAATCAAAGGACGCTGATGAAGCTGTGAAACATCTTATAACATGGAGGAAGCTGGAGGTCATTATGCTGAGTGATTTAGTCAGTCACAAAAGAATAAATATTGGATAAGACCACTATTATAAGAACTCAAGAAAAGGTTTAAACACAGAAGAAAACATTCTTTGATGGTTATGAGGGTGAGGAGGGTGACAGAGGGTTATTTACTAACTAGATAGTAGATAAGAATTACCTTATGTGAAGGGAAGGACAAGCGCTCACTACAGGGGAAGTCAGCATAACTTGGACTAAACCAAAGCTAAGAAGTTTCCTGAATACAATCAAACAGTTTGAGGGACAGAGTAGCAGGGGTAGGAGTGTGGGGACCATGCTTTCAGGGCACATCTAGGTCAACTGGCATAACAAAGCTTATTAAGAAAATGTTCTGCATCCTACTTTGGTGAGTGGCGTCTGGGGTCTTAAAAGCTTGCAAGCGGCCATCTAAGATGCATCAATTGGTCCCAACCACCCGGAGTAAAAGAGAATGAAGAACACCAAAGACACAAGGGAAGTAGTAGCCCAAGAGACAGAAAGGGCCACATAAACCAGAGACTTCATCAGCCTGAGACCAGAAGAACTAGATGGTGCCCGGCTACCACCAATGACTGCCCTGACAGGGAATACAATAGAGAGTCCCGGATGGAGCAGGAGAAAGGTGGGATGCAGAACTCAAATTCTAGTATGACACCAGACTTAATGGTCTGACTGAGACTGGAGGTACCCCGGAAAGCATGGCCCCTGGATTCTCTATCAGTCCAGAACTAAAACAATTTCCGAGACCAACTGTTCAGACAGGGATTGGACTGGACTGTGGGACATAAAGTGATACTTGCAAGGAGTGTACCTCTTAGCTCAAGTAGATACAAGAGACTAAACCGGGCAGCTTCTGTCCGGAGGTGAGATGGGAAGGCAGAGAGGGTTAGCAGCTGGTTGAATGGACATAGGGAATTGGGGGTGGAAAGGAGGAGAGTGCTGTCACAGTATGGGGAGAGCAATTAGAGTCACATAACTGTGTATGTATAAATTTTTGTATGGGAAAAAATTTAAAAAAAAAGAAAATCAAAGGATGCATTGCAACAGGCAAATCTGCTGCAAAAGACCTCTTTCAAGTGCTGAAAAGCAAAGATGTCACTTTGAGGACTAAGGTGCTCCTGACCAAAGCTATGGTATTTTCAATTGCCTCATATGCATGCAAGGGCTCGTAATGAATAAGGAAGACAGAAGGAGAAATGACGCCTTTGAACTGTGGTGTTGGTGAAGAATATTGAATATACCATGGACTACCAAAAGAACGAACAAATCTGTCTTGGAAGAAGTACAGCCAGAATGCTCATTAGAAGCAAGGATGGTGGGACTTTGTCTCCCGTACTTTGGACATGTTATCAGGAGGGATCAGTCCCTGGAGGACATCATGCTTGGTAAAGTAGAGGGTCGGCGAAAAAGAGGAAGACCCTCAACGAGATGAACTGACATAGTGGCTGCAATAATGGGCTCAAACATAATGATTGTGAGGATGGTGCATAACAGGGCAGTGTTGCATTCTGTTGTACACAGGGTCACTAGGAGTTGGAAGCAAGTCGATGGCACCTAACAACAACAAGTTCATCCACAGCTCATAACTTGAGAATTTTCTAAGCGGGAGAGACAAAATGTATAGACCCATTTGAAAATGACCTTTCCTTGTTTGAAACAATATTTTTCTTTCATGCTAATCTTGTCTAACAACTCAGTTTTCATGAGCTGAAATTCTTAGGCATTTACTGCTTTATAAAAATATACTTATCACTTTCTATTTATACATACAAATCTTATTTTTTCTAAAGAAATTTATTTTATATGCAGAAAAATTTACCAACGATTATTGAACAAAGTCATACATTTGAAAATATTTTTAATTATAAATGCTGATAATACAGACATCAGCAAATGGCTTATCTAATATTTACCTACTCATAATTTACCTTTACTATCTGTCTTAGCCATCTAGTGCTGCTATAACAGAAATACCACAAGTGGATGGCTTTAACAAAGAGAAGTTTATTCTCTCACAGTCCAGTAGGCTACAAGTCCAAATTCTGGGCATCAGCTCCAGGAGAATGCTTTCTCTGTCAGCTCTGGACGAAGGTCCTTGTGATGCATCAGTCTTCCCTTGGCCTGGGAGCATCTCAGCGCAGGAAGCTCAGGTCCAAAGGATGCGCTCTGCCCTGGCACTGCATTCTTGGTGGTATGAGGTTCCCACGTGTCTCTGCTCGCTTCTCTCTTTTATATCTCAAAAGAGATTGATTTAAGACACTATCTAATCTTCTAGACCTCATCAGTATAACTGCTGCTAATCCATCTTATTACATCATTGAGTTTACAACACATAGAAAATCACATCAGATTACAAAATGGTATACAATCATACAATACCGGGAATCATGACCCAGACAAGTTGACAGACATTTTTGGGGGAACATAATTCAATCTATGACACTAGCTGAATGCAACAGGCACTTTCCACCTTTGTAAAAATCAATGTTAGGCATTATGTTTGTCTATGGGCTATAATTTTCTATGGAATTTAGTAGAATCTTAATATAGAAAATTAAGATTGTGATACAACTCACAAAAATAAGGCAGAATCAATAAAATATTTCAAATCAACAAACACCTTCAACCAAAACTAATTATAAAAAAAAAGAAAGTTTGACTACTTTAAAGGCTAAATTTAAATTTTTATATAGGAAATACCCCTACATGGAGTAACACGAACAAAAATTACATTTAATTAACTATTTTCCTCACTCTTCATGTTGTTGCAGCGGTTTCGTTCCATTACTCTGTCCACTTTGAGCATCAATATTTTCAGTTTTCTTAAATATCTAAAATTGGACTCCTTTCTATCACTCACTATCCTGTAATCCTCCTACACTTTTCTTCAAAGTACTTATCCACCTGCTATATATTCTTCACATTTATTAACTGTCTCCCTGCACACCCCTCCCCATAGTCTTCATGAGAGCAGGCTCTTGACTATTATATTAAGGGCTATATATCCCAACTCCCTAATATAACGTCTGGCATGGATTAGTCAATAATTATCCAGTATGTGAATAAATGAATGAATAAAAAACATTACTGTACTTTAGTATACAAGCTATTTTTCTACTACTGCTTAGTTCAAAGGCAATGTAAAACTCCTGTTATGATTTCTACAATTGATTTTACAAATATTTATTTTAACTCAGAAAGGGCTCAAAACCCTGTTCATTACTACTATTCAAAATTTCAAATCTCACATTCTATGAAAAACTTATACCACCACAATAAAAGTAAATCTTATTTTTAAGCCAAGCATAGATCAAGTGGTGAGCTGACAGCTCACTGTAAAAAGTGCTGATGAAAACCTTTACCACCTGTCATTCAATATGCGCTCAAATGTAAAATGACTGTTATCTGAAAATCCCTTTATGGTTTGACCTAGGTATTTATCTAAAATTGCCCAGTGTAAAGAATGTGACAATCATAGAACACAGACTGAATATCACAGATTATCAAGGAAATAGCTACATAAATTATGGCAGAGCCAAACGATAGGATATTACTAAGGTATAATAAGTAATGTTTGCCATGATTATTTAATAACATTAGAAAATTATCCTAAAGTCAATTTAAAAACCAGAAACACATATGCATAAAAATATGCCAAGAATGAAATATATAAAAACATCCGATAATAGGTGATAAGATAAGCGGCAGAAGCAAATAACAAATTCACAGTTATAAACTTGTCACTGGTGGTACAGCGGTTAAGAGCTCAGCTGCTAATAGAAAGGCTGGCAGTTTGAACCCACAAGCCGCTCCATGTGAAAAAGATGTGGCAGTCTGCTTCCTTAAAGATTCCAGCCTTGGAAATCCTATGAGGCATTTCTCCTCTGTCCTATAGGTTCGCTATGAGTTGGAATCAACTTGATGGCAATGGGTTTTTAGAGCTATCAATAATTCTTTTTTTTCTTTCTTTTTTACTATGGCTGTCCATTTTTTAGTCTGATTCATAGCCAGTACTTTAAAATGTTATAGATGAATAAACAAAGTTATGTACCTCTTATTCTGGTAATAAAGAAATGATTTGGTTATATCTCTTCCCATTCTCAGTGTATTAGTTTTTTACTGCTGCTGTAATAAATTACCATAAACTGAGTGGCTTAAAACAACCCAAATTTATTATCTTACAGTTCTGGAGATCAGAAATCCTAAAACCAAGGTGTTGGCAGGAATGAGCTCCTTCTGGAGGCTTTGGGGAAAACCTGTTTCCTTGTCTTTTCCAAGGCTTTAGGGACTTACTGAGGCCACCTGCATTCCTTCA